CACAATGCAACGCTTGTTGCGTTCGCTTTCTTTCGCCAACGCCTTGATCTTCGCCACCAAAACTTGGCAATCATGGTTCTGATGATGACTCGATGTCGAGATCTTTGATAAAATCTCGGTAACCTGAACCGAACTGATCGGAATGCGAGGGGTGGGAATGCGCTCGATTCCAAAAGACTTTTTCTCGACGCACCAATCTTGTATCATCTTGCGGATGGTGTGGTTGGGAATGAGATCAAAGCTTGTGAGGACTTGGTTGGTAATAGGGCACGTGAAGTTTTCTGTTTCGATCCACGTCTCTATGCTGTGGCGGTCGTACGTGATCCCGGTGGACAGCGTGACCGGATCCTTCATCAAGTCTAGTGAGATTGGGCACCGGAAGTGGTTTGGTATGGTCAGCTCCATGTCGCCGGTCTCACCTTCCTTGGCAGCACGGCGGCCGGCTCTCAGCCTTCTCCATGACAAGGTCATGACTACTGAATCTGAGATATCAAAGTTAGAATGGTATAGTAGGTGGATGGATGGTGCTTGTTTTCGTGTTTTGTGTTGAATGAGAGAAATGATGAGGTTGGACCGTTGGTGTGTGTGTATATATATAATATATGATATATATTATATATATAGTTGTTGTATTGTGTGTGTATATATATATATATATATATTATATATGATATATTGTGTGTATATATATATAATATATGATATATATTATATATAGTTGTTGTATTGTGCATGTATAAAGTGGACGCTGTTCAAGTTTGAAACTTAGGAAAAGGTTTATAAAAGGGAGATTGATGAAAGGGAAGAGAAAATTTTTCATTGTGACGGAAATATAGATGGTATACCACGTGTTTTTATATAAATGGTGAAAATTTTATTTTTTAAATTTTAACTTTTTAACACATATATCATATCATTTATATAGTGACATATAATGTACTACCTAATGTACCGATCACACTGAAAAATCTCTCGTGGTGATGGGTTCCGAATATTTGACCGTTGAATATTTGAAATGGTAAGAGATGAACTGGATGGTACACCGTCAAAGGAGGAGGGGTAGGGCATTTCTTTACGTACTGTTTGGAAAAGAATCAAAGGTTTGACGCCATGCCAGTCAACCGGTCGGTGGACTGACCGAGTCGGATTGTATAATATTTGTAAACCCTTGGACCAGAAATATTTTTTAGCATGACCGACACACGGAGTGGTACATCACATGTCATCATATAAATAGTATAGTATGTGTGTTAAAAAGTTAATAACTTAAAATATAAAATTTCACACCACTTACATAAAAATACATGATGTACCACTCGTATTCTTGTCACAATGAAAATTTTCTCCTTGGACCAAATTAGCATGTGAGATGAATGGGTCTAAAACTTTAAATTAATTCATTAGTTAATTGATTGGTCTTTTCTAATGTGTTTGATTAGTTTCACAATTTTAGGCTAATACGCGCACGAACACGGACTCGAGCTTTTCGTGTGATATCCAACAAAGAAAAAAGAGGCTTAGTCGTGTGATTTTGGTTTTGTCCTTTTGTGGCAGTAGAGGATATACTCTGTGCGTAAGCGATCATGCACGCAATTGGTGGATAATTACTAAGTCGCAACGGAAAATATATCTTTGTATTAATGTGTTTTTATCATGCGTTATGTATCATACAATGAGACAAGTAATAATGTAATTCGAAGTTGTAATGAAAATTACGTCTTTGTATTAATATATTTTTATCATGCGGTACGTATCATACAATGAGATAAGTAGGAAGGTAGAAAAATTTGTGGGCATGGATAATCTGATGGGGGTGGGTATATATAGTATTGGCATTCTCTGACCGATCTTTCCCATTTCCATCCTGTGCTAATGTGAAGATAGAATTTCATTAGTTACATGGAAAAATTCGCAGAATGGTGAATGTCAGCATAGAATGGAAACGGGATAGATGTGTAACATTCATTTTGTGTGTGTCATTGTGGCCTCTATCGTTAACCTAATTCTTCTTTAACTTTCTTATCATAAACTTAACACGTGTCAATCCATAATAAAAGCTATAAATAGACCACAAACAAAATAAGTAAATCTCAGAGAAAAGAGGAAGGAGGAGTGAGAAGCTTCGTATACCTGTGATTGTGAGATTTCAATAGAGTTTTGTCGTTGTGGTCGAAATGAGGAAATTATGCATTGAACTGGATGAGATGTTTGGCTACAATTCCTCATTTCAAATATTGGGCCTTTGAGCCAATTCAATTCAAAAATCACATTGAATTGGTGTTGTCCTAAAATTTACCAAACTCATGTGGCGCATAGGCCGAGTAATTAAGAGCTAATTATATTTTTTTAGTGAACGCAGATGTGCCAACTTGCAACCTAGCTCAGTTGACGAGTAGAATAAATATAATAGTAATGTCGAATGTGTTACTAACTTCTGTATTCAAGGGATCACGGCCAAAAAAAGAACAATTTGGCCTTGGATTCTGGAACCAATAGTCACTGAAAAGTTCAAATAGAATTCAGCTTTCAATGACAGAGAGCTCTTAATCAGCCAATCACTTTACTAACAACTATCTCAGCCTGAATTGGTGCTATTATCCACAATCAGGCTCAATCAAAATTCCAAATGCTTGTCGCCTGATGCAGACCATGTGCATGCTGGCTCAAGGAAACAATTTTCCAATAATTTTATGGAATTTTTACCATGCTGACTCTACAAAAGGTACATCACTATCCTCCGCAAATCACTATGAGATCAAAGCAACGGCAGAGTTAATATGAGATCATTAGTTGTTTTTTATCTCAATAATTTTAAAAATTCTATGTGTATTTATTTATGTGTTATATTTGACCTCTATAAACAGTTAAGACAAACTAAATTACAACCTCGTCATTTACTTATATTTTCTTCTATCGTATATGTCTTCCTTTTCTCTCTTCTTGTGTGCACTCTATTGTGTGCACCATGTACTTGATGAAATACCTAAGTTGACAAGTCTTAGTAGTTTTCAACATTACTCCACAGTCTGCATCCATCGACAAAGCCTAATAATAGTAGTTGTCGACATATATTGACATAAGCTTTTGGCATGTGTTGGCAGGAATTGACAAGTGCCTATTAGGTGCCCGACTAAATGGGCCAATAAAGTTTTTTTAGTTGATATTATGATCCCATTATTTAAAAATTATAGCTTCGCCACTAGTTCAAATTCTATCTCCAGATTAGTCTTAAAATAAAGGCCAACTAATTTTGTGGTCTCCAATATGACATGGAGACTATTTTCTTATTCAATAAACTCTCTCGGTTTTATTCTCGTATCCGAATTCATAAAACATTTTCACAAGATAATTACTATGATAGTCTAATGATAACATCTATTAAAATTCAACGGCCTCAATTAAATGGACCAATGATGTAAAATTGGATCCAAACACTTTGCTATCCCGATGTATGCATTGATTGTTTATTCTAGTGTGAATTGTCACACGAGAAAAAATGCGGGCATAATTATTGAATATAATTGTATCATTTAAAAAAATTGCATTGGACTTCGGATAACACAACGTCGTCGGACCACACATACTAAATACCCCATTCCCTATTTTAGACACGATCCATTTTCTAGTTCAACTCTTTACGCGTAGTGGTCCTCCAAGCGTCTCGACATAAGACTTTCTCCTACTAAACTAACCATATTTTAAGCCTCAATTAGTGTTGGCATTCTAAAGTACAACACTTTACTATTATATTTTGGAGATGATGTTTAAGCTTGGGAAGATAACAAATTTGATGGAAAACAGTGAGGCTTAGGGACTTTCGAAACAAACCAAATACTCTCCTAACTCGCGAGTTATATTTTTAATTTTATTTTATCAAGCATGATTTTGTGGACTAAAGACTTATAAATACTCTGGTTAAAAAATATGACTATGAGATAGAGATTCATGGCAAAGAGGTATAGAAATTCTAAGAAAAAAACATAGAGTACTTGAAGCTAACGAAAAACTTGACACGAAAACGAGCGAAGTGGTGATCTAAAATTTATACACCCAACCCTACTTCGTAAAATAAAACTTTGTTATTATTGTTGTTCTTGTCAAACATGACATTCGTGGAATATATATATTATTATTGTCAATATATAAATTTGTTGTGTACAAAACGTTTGCGTCATTCACACACGATATTAAGATGAGAATGTACCAATAATTTGTAAATTATTATCAAGGATAAAAGATGTTTTTCTCTTTAAATAAAATTAAAATTTGGACTAAAACGTCGACGTTTAGCTAACCTAACAAATACTTCATATAAAAAAAATTGGATTGAAGATAACGACGAGTGATTTAGGAATAAAGCCGAGACATGCGGGATGTGCCCCCCGCCGTCACTGTCGGAGCTGGAGAATATTCTAGAAGTAGAAAAACAAAACAACTTTGTAGCTGGCAAACCGTATCTACTCCAGTCCATGTCGGACACGTGTCACTAGTTGCCGCCGTTTTCCATCATCCATTTACTCGACGGCCATTGGCCATTCGTGGGCAAAATCCAAGCGGGGCTGAGCTGTAAGGGGGATTTTTCAGTATGATCATCATAAGAGGTGGTATATTACATATTTTTATACAAATGGTGTGAGACGTGTATTAAAAAATTAATAACTTAAAAAATACAATTTTCCATCACTTGTATAAAACCACATGGTTCTATTTGTTCTGGTTTGGCCAACCAATCCTATCCTCCTCCATCCTTCCATTTTTATTAGAATTGGATACATAAAAATAGTATACCTGCCTGGTTACACTCAAGTTTGAATCACTCTCTACGTAAATTAGACTAGTTTACAAAGTTTCCCTTGGTTCAAGTTCGTAGCGACACGGGGACGATAATTGCTCTTAAGTAGAGGAAAGGGGTCGGTTGCATGATCAGTCACAATCCTAATGTGTAGTCCGCCTCGCCCAGTTGTGTATGACAATGACCAAACCGGAAACAATTTTGGGCAAACTTTTAAACTAGGTTCTCAGATTGGGAAAAAAAATTAACTGGACCACATCAGAGGCTTAATCAGCCATTTTCTTCAACATCTTAGACTAACCACCAGAATTCCTAGAGCACCAGAGATTTAAACTATCTTAACATAAAAATGTAAACGAAAAAATGCATCCCCTGTCCACATCAGGATAACAAACACAATAACTACAAGCCATTTGAACATTCAATGTAGCTCTGAACTTCTTTCTCGACCTTTACCGCCCATCCGATGATGTAAACGATTCTGCAAATCCAGATGGGCGAGTAGGTATGCTGGTTTGGGTGTTGTCTCCGCTGGCAAAGAACGATGAAGAAGATGAAGACTCATCAAGGTTGCTATTGCCTTCAAAAGCCTGCCACTTCTTTAGTGCTTGTGGTAAGGTCATTTCGAGGTCAATTCCATACATATCATCAGAATCTTCGGCTTCAGATGGTTTCCAATGCTCAACGAGTGACGAAAGAACATTGACTGCATGACCCATGTCGGGCCTCTGGTAGGGCTCCCTTGCGCTGCAATGCCCAGCAAGCTCAGCGACGGTGTTAATACTAGAAAGAGTTTCCTCATTGAGATCAATTGTTGGATCAATGGCCTTCCGGAATGTATCCTTGTTAATGAGCATTCTGCGGAACCATGTAACAAGGTGCAAGCTCTCCTCTGGTTGGCTTTCATCAATTGCTCTTCTACCCGTGATAAGCTCCATTAAGATCACTCCAAAGCTATACACGTCAACCTTGAGTGTCATCCGCCCAGTTGCTGATACATTACAAAATTGTGGTTTTAGTGCCTTGAATTTTTATTAATTGAACGACAGTAAGCATAATTAAGCACAACAAACCTTATGATGAAATGCCATGAGGCTATAGCAAGAAGAAAATGCACCACATAACAGATGCTACATTAAGAATGGAACAAGCGGAAAATGTCTGTAACATGAAACTATAAAATACTGAGCTGAATGGTTTTGTTAACCTTTCCAATAATCCTACATCAGATGCATATAAATTCAGTCAACATGTTAGAGACAACAAATGCTCGTCACAGACAGAAGCCATTTTATTCTTTTCTATCTTCTTTGCATCCCTGATTTTGAAAATTATAAACTACTTAGCATGCCAGAATATCCAAGGAAAATTAAAGAATTGGAACATATGAGTTTAGTACGTAAATGATGCAGTGAATCTAATATAGTCCTACATGTGTTGACTAGCGGTTTGCACAAAGAATAATCAGTGAGAGATAATCTCATAGTTGTCTTAGTTCATTGAACAATGACATTTGCTGGAATATCTAATCATACTTTACAAAGCAAATACCTTTCGTGGTACTCGAATGGAATTTGAAAAGAAGAGTGCATATAGAAATGTTTTACCTGCATACTCTGGAGCCAAATAGCCAAAAGTTCCAGCTAGTCTCGTCTCAATTGAGGCTTTCCCTTCTGGAGCAAGACGAACCAGTCCAAAATCTGAAACTTTAGCCCGCATATCATCTCCGAGTAAAATGTTCGAAGGTTTAAGATCCCTGTGAATGAAAGTCTGACTGGCTAAACCGTGGAGATACTCAACCCCTCTTGCAACATCCAAGGCAATGGTCAGCCTTCTAGTCCATTCAAGTGGCTTCAGACCTTCCTCTTTCCAGTTGAACAAGTATCTACTAAGAGTCCCTTGAGGCATGTATTCATAAACAAGAAGCCTCTCGTTTCCGTCCAAACAATAGCCAAGAAGTCCAACCAAGTGGCGGTGTCGGACCTTAGTAAGAACTGCAATCTCAGACTTGAACTCATTTAGACCCTTCTCCGCCACCACTCCAGATTCCATCCTCTTCACTGCAATCTTTGTCCCATCATGCAACTCCCCTTTGTACACAGTTCCAAAACCACCTTTTCCTAATATATTATTTTCGCTGAAATTATTGGTCACATTTCTCAAAACTTGGATCGAAATGACCATACTTCCAGCCTCAACCACATGAATGTCATTAGGTCCACTACTTGCCGGACTATTATAGGACTCATTTTCACAGCGATTAACCCCAGAGTTAGCAACTGTGATCTTGACTGCATTTTGATCGCCAGAGTGACGAGGATGAATAACCAATGCGTTTGGACTTTGAACTCTGCCAGAATGCTTATGCTTTTTCTTAAGTAGACAGAAAGCAACAAACCCAACTACAACCAATCCTCCAACACTGCCGATGACAGCCCCAACAACCACCCCAGTCCTAGATTTTTTACCTCCATCTGGTTGGAAGCCAGGCGGTGAATTAGGAATTGTAGGCGTCGCTGGCGTTGCTGGCGAAGGGGGATGATCCTGACCAATATTAGGGTTCCCAGCTGTTTTCACGTCCACATTCTTAAACTTTGGTACTTGACCAAAAAGTTGATTGTTACTAACATCTATCTGCTGAAGGTTGGGCAGTTGCGTAAGCTCCTTTGGTATGGTACCGGTGAGGTTATTATTGTCAAGTCTCAATGTTCGCAAGGAGGTAAGCAGAGAATAATTTGAAGAGATCGTACCTGAAAGACCCAGGCTCCGAAAATTGACAACAGTAATGTTTCCACCATTACACGTAATTCCCTTCCAGTTATTACAAGGATCGTTCCCCTTCCAACTATCTGCAAAAACAGTAGGATAACCCATGTCTTTGATGACCGAAAGCAAAACATTGACACGAGCGTCGCAATCAACACCCCGCTTATCACTGCAAAAACTATTTAACCCCGTCATATCCACCAGAACCCCATCGCCAAACTTGGGCATTGGTCCTTGAAGCATATTATTGGTCAAATTAACAGAAGTAAGGGATTTAAGATTCAACAAAGACGCGGGAACAACGCCGGTGAGCTTGTTATCCCTCAAACTCAGAGTGGTCAAGTAACCTAAGTTCGACAAGTCCGGTATAGGACCGGTGAAATAATTACCATGTAACCAAACCTCACGCAGAGAAATCATGTTCTGTAACACATCAATAGTACCATTAAGCCTATTGGTGCCCTGTTGGCTGTTCAACCAGAGGGACTGAATACTCGAACCCGAAAAACTAGCAGGCAATTCGCCTTCAAGGTAATTGAAAGCCAAATGTAGATCAGTCAAACCTGGGAAATTGGAACTGTTGAAGATATCGGGGATTCTTCCGGTGAGGTTGGTCTGGGTGGCGGAGAATTCCTTCAGCTGTGTGGCATCTTTGAGAGTGTCGGGAATCTGCCACGCAGCAAAGGGATTGTGGTCGATGTTGATGTTGTCAAGGGAGGTGAGTCCGGTGAAGAAATCGGAAGGGAAGGACGAGAAGTTGTTGTCGTGGGCGAGGAGGACCTGAAGCGGTTGCACCCCGGAGAGGCTCGGAAAAGGTCCGGTGAGTTGGTTGTTCTGAACTTCCAGTTGCTGCAAATACGAAAGCTTTTGGATTTCCGGCGGCAGCGTGCCGGTGAGTTTCTGATTACCCAATTGGATTTTGAAAACCTTGCCGTCCTGGCAACTCACTTTTCCCCATTTGCAGTAATCGGTGCCGGACCACCCGAGACTGTTGGAGCCGATGCTTTTCCGGAGTGCTTCCATGGCCGCTCCGTCGTCGCCGCCGCCGCCGGACTGGGAGTGTACTGGTGAGTACAGCGAGAAAAACAAAAGGAGCAGAACGGGGAAAGAACCCCAGAAACCCAGTTGGGGTTCCTTCATTTTTTTTTCAGAAAAAATACAAGAAAGTGGATGAAAAAGAAGAAAGATACAGACTGACAGAAAAAAGAACAGCAGAAATCCCTAGGGTTTATGGGAGGAGAAACGGCGGAGAATTGGGCGGAGAAAAGGCGAACGTTTTTGGGGGTTTAATTGGGAGTTCGTGGGGCTTTGAATGATACTCTGATTTTCGGTTGGGTAGTGTTTGGAAACAGAGAAAAACAAGCTGGCGTAACGATTTACGTGTGCGATTTTCTCTCTCTGATTCGATTGAAAGAAATCGAAGGAAATAAAATGGAAAATGAAAGGGGAGTATGGGTCGGTTTTGATTACAAATTTCTTGTTTTGGTTTTAAGACATTTGCTTGTGCAGTCTGCTACACGTACTACTCAATAGTGGACAATGGGTCAGAGCTTTGCTGTCTTCCATCTTACTATTTTTTTTTTTGGTATTATTCTCATCTCAATTTTTTGACGCAAAAGACTGACTTATACGATAAAAATATCGTTCTCGTCGTGTTTTGGGTTAATTACATGATATTAATGTTAATTTTTATTTTTATGATATATAGCTATATTATGTAAATTGTTCTCGAGATCATGATTATAAATAACACAATCATATATTGTGATATTTAGATACGTTCAAAAGTTAGAAAATCTACCATTACAAACAAAAACAAAAATAAACCATTGATATGGGGCTAAATACTAAGTTTTTTTTTTTTTTTCTAATTAGAAATGAATCCTAGTGGATTTGTTAATTGATTTGACATGATCGTTGAGTTGTAATCAGATGCCGTAATCTAGCAGAAAATTAAGGGATGATTTGAAGTAAACAACGGTGTGATTGTTTTGGATTTTTCTGTCTATTTATTTGTGTACCCACCAACCATTTTCTTAGAAATTGGCATTAATCGGGGACTGACAGTTCGGATTACCTTAATTAATTTCCTTAATGTTTGACAACTAACTTAATAATTTTTTTTAATTCGGGGAGGGTGGACTTTTGACGACCCGAATGTTAAAAAAAAGAAGGTCCATTGGGCCCAACGATCTTTTGCATGGCGGACATTTGGATAGGGGTAGACGCGGTGCGGTTCGGTACGGTTTCGAATAAAATCGCAATTGAAACTGAATTTTTTTGCTGTGCAGTTTTAAAGTCAAAATCGAAATGAAATCAAACCAGTTGATTCAGTTTGGTGCAGTTTCAAACGGTTTCAATTCGTTTTTTTAGAAAAAGTTACAATTTTAAATTTACACATATTTACAAATAAGACAATCTTATTTTCCTCGTACATTAATCAATGAACCTACAGAAAAACTGTAGCGAAAAATAGCAGCAAAGGAAGTAAGAGATAGAGAGATTTGTCTGACCATATGCAACAGTAGCACCAATCAACAACACACAAGCATTAAAGAAAGTATATATGTATACATTTTCATACTGCACAATTTGTTTAAGTTATATATCAAGATAAGCACTGTTATGAAGCACATTTCTCAACCGAAAGAATGTTGCTAATTACAGGTGCGCTACATTAGGTTCAAGCTTCTAGCACATCAATGAACTATGTGCCTTATTTAGATCGAGTGGAGTGTTGTGATCAAGGGTTGGAATTAGTAACTCTACTGCAATATGAGTACTATTGACTGCACAGCTTCTTGTGTGTGGCCAGATAAATGAACATGAGTTTTGAGAGAGAGAGAGATAAAGGTAGAGATGTATGGACTCGAATAGAGGTGCAAAATTGGATGACATTCTATTCTAGTGTAGTTAAGTCCATATTATAAATGTATGGACTCTAATAAAGAAACAATTAGAACATAACATTCAATATATGGTGCGGTTTTGAAAACCCAAAACCGAAACCAAACCGTTTTCTTAGCCGCGGTTCGGTTTCGAAACCGCAACCGTTTCAAAACCGCAAAACCGAACTATTTGGTGCAGCCCGATTCGAATTGTGTTTCAATTTTGGTTTTCGGTTCCAAGTGCCCACCCCTACATTTGGACACTACTGACAGAAGGTGGACTTCATTTTTAATTCCCCTCTTTAATTTTTTTTTAACTATTTTGTGCACAAAGATTCAAACTTCTAATTTCAAGCACCGAAAAAAAAATAATATTGCAATTTGTATAAATTCATTTGTTTAATATTATTCGTCCGTATTTAATTTAGAGTTGAATTTTAACTTCTTTCGAGATATTACAATATGTTTGCTCACGTGTGAGATTTATAGGACATACATGATTCACGTTATCCTATATTATTCACAAATCAAGTTTAAATTTCGTTATACATGAAAAGACGTGTGAAAATGTAGCTTAAAGGACTATACGAAGTTGAGGTGAAACCTCATCTACCTTCATTAAAATCTCTACTGGAAACCCACCGCCCAACATCCAAATGTATTAATGTAGAGCCTCAGGCCCACCACTACATGCCTTGATGCCGTTTCTTTTTTCTGGTTGACAAGAAGTGATAAAGTAAACTCCTACACAGCTATTACAATTACCTAAGACGTAACAAAATCGTATCAGCAACTAAAATTAGTTTTCGCCGAATAGCGAGAACATACAGAATCATTGTAGAAGAGCAAAACCTCATAAAATCAGCATTAATAAACGAAACCACATATATCATTGTTCAAGTGGCAAGACCACATCCAGCCATGGCAATAGCGGGACCACATTCGAGTGGGTTGGGTCGGGTCGGCTGCATAATATGATTATATGGTAGAGATGTCGACGAAGAAGATAACGTCGAAATATTATATGGACCATTCGAAGCTGGGACATCGGTGACAACAAACTTAGACCAACATCCTGGTCCGATGTAACTTGTCCACATGTAACATGGGGTCCTACATTTGTTTTCTTTTTCCACGTGGCACCATACAAAAATTGATGAAAAAGCCAATATTCTATATTTATTATAATATAATGCTAACTTAAATATTGCATGCCACACAAAATATTTGCTTTGGTTTGCCGATTGGAAAGTATATATTGAATTGGCTATTCTAGTTGACGTGAACGTCGACGAATTGGCTTGAGTAGCGTGTATTCTGTTAAATATTCTTGTTAAAAAGATGTTGGATTTTTATTTATGCATTTCGTTTCGAAACTCTTTTTCTCTAAATTATTGTAATAGTTTCAAATTCTTTTTCTTCTCTTTAATAATAATATGCATTTTAATAAATAAATAGATTAGGTCAAGTAATCAAATAGATTAAAAAAAATTTGGTTAAAATAACCAAATATTCAATTTAAATTGTTGAACTAAATGAAAAAAAAGTAGTGACATGTGGATTGAATATTCACGGCATAGCGATCAAATGTCAACGATATACAAAACACAGAAAAATTATAATAATAAAAGTAATGCTAGACTTACCGTGTTTTGGTGGATCCCACATTTTATTATAGAGATGATAAAATGTGGTGAAAGTAATATTTTTATTTAAGGATTTGAAAAATAATTGTTTTCGGATTTCTCCAAATTGAAATTCTTACAACGCACAAGCCTTGAAGCCCAAAAAAATGCAAAGTCCTTATGCCCAACATGCCTTCTGTTCTTGCATTTTCAGGTTTGGACCAGCATGCCCATACATGCATTTATTTAATACATTCACCTTCCAACATTCTAATATGATCAAATATGACATTCTCTCTTTCTAGTTGCATATTTGACTATTAGATACTGAATTAAGGGACCGTTTGAGAACAATATTTCGACAAAACAAAAAGAACTTGAATCAAAATAATTATCAAACGGCCCTAAGTAATCGTTAACCATGTTAATTATGGTACCTTCCATTATCTCCAGAAAGTCTAAATGCACGGCTATCATAACTACTTAAGAAGATAGGCATAACAAATTTGTATTAACGACTACAACAAGCTATCGCTGAATAACAAGAACATACAAAATCATTAAAGAAGAGCAAAAGCACATGAAATCAGTATTAATAAACGAGACCACATAAGATTATCGTTAATAAATGAAACCACACATATCCTTGTTCAAGTGACAAGACCACATCCAGCCATGGCAATAGCAGGACCACATTCGAGTTGGGTTGGGTCGGGTCGGCTGCATAAAATGATTATATGGTAGAGATGTCGACGAAGAAGATAGCGTCGAAATATTATATGGACCATCCAAAGGTGGGACATCGGTGACAATAAACTTAGACCAGTATCCTGGTCCGATGTAACTTGTCCACATGTAACATGGGGTCCTACATTTGTTTTCTTTTTCCACGTGGCACCATACAAAAATTGATGGAAAAGCCAATATTTTATATTTATTATAATAGAATGCTAACTTTAAATATTGGCATGCCACACAAAATATTTGCTTTGGTTTGCCGATTGGAAAGTATATATTGAATTGGCCAAACTTAGAATGTCACTAAATACCCCAAACCCTAATTAGCATTTTAATAAATAAATAAAATAGATTAAATTAGGTCAAGTAATCAAATAGATTAAAAAAAAACATTAAAAATAATTCGGTTAAAATAACCAAACGAGAGATTATATTCACACATCCCAAATTACTTCTCTCACACCCTTTTATTTTTCTATCAAGGTTAATGATGTGTAGAAAATATTAAAAAATTAAAAAGATGCGGGAGAAGTAATTTGGGGTGTGTGAATATAATATCTCTAACCAAATATTCAATTTAAATTGTTGAACTAAATGAAAAACAATAGTGACATGTGGATTGAATATTCCCGGCATAGCGATCAAATGTCAACGATATACAAAACATGAGAAAATTACAATAGTAAGAGTAATGCTAGACTTATCATGTTTTGGTGGATCTACCTTTTATTACAGAGGTGATAAAATGTGATGAAAGTAAGATTTTGGGTTAAACTCTGTTTACTACCATGTTTCGTGGTTTTCAACATTTATTACATGAAGTTTTTTTGGCCCCAGAATCATACCTAAAGTGTTAGTTTTGGGACAGTCTCATACATCCATTAGTCTGGCTGTTAAGTCTTCTGTTAACTGATGACGTGGCACCCACGTGGACAATGATTGGGCACCACGTATCATTAAAAATTAAAGAAAATTAAACTATTAAAATAATTAATTAAATAAAAGTTAAAAAAAAAAAAAAAAATCCCCAGGTCCCTTTGTCTTCGCCACCATGATCCCTTTGCATCATCTGCACATCCATCCTTTTCCAGATCCCCTTTGTCTTCCCCAAGCGACTTGCTGTGACACGTGCGATGATAGAGGCCTTTATGTGGAAGAGAGGGTCGTCGTGCTTCCATCCGAGGATGAGGGACTTATCGAGTTCCTGGAGCTTGACGGAGTGGAGCGCATGGGAGTTAAGGATGGTGCGGACAACGTTAAGTTCTTGGATGGTGAGGGGGTCGAGAGGGTGGTGGGAGGTGTCGGAGATGTGGTCTTTGAGGCGGGGCGTTGGGATATGGGGATTGGATGCGGTTTTTGGAGGAGCACTAGGCGGAGTTTGTTGTGCAGTCGAGGAGGTCAAAGACATACGGGAGGCGCATAAGGGAGGTGGGACCAAGTGAAAAGGAGGACTAGGCTTATGCAGAGGGAAAGGGAGAAAAAATGCAGGAATCTCCGATCTTCCATGGATTATGTGTTTCAAAGTTTGAGTTTTGAGGGAGGGGGAAGGATGGATGTGCAGATGTGCAGAGGTGCAGAGGTAGAAAGGAGGGGAGTCGGGATGGGGAAGAAAAAGGGGTTCTGGGGATTTTATTTTATTTTTTATTTTTTACTTTTATTTAATTAATTATTTTAATAGTTTACTTTATTTTATTTATTTTTTAAATTTCCACGTGGATGACACGTGGCATCTAGTCATTGTCCACGTGAGCCCCACGTCACAGTTAATAGGAGACTTAACAGTTTGACTCATAGATGTATGAGATTGTTCCAAAATTTACACTTTAGGTATGACTCTGGGACTGAAAAAAACTTAATGCACTAAATGTTGAAAACCACAAAACATAAGGGTAGTAAACAGTCTTTTGTCTTAATATTTTTATTTCAGGATTTGAAAAATAATTGTTTTCGGATTTCTCCAGATTAAAATTATTCCATTAATCTTTGAGAGGGTGTGGACAAAAGCCCAATTGAAATTCTTACAACGCACAAGCCCTGAAGCCCAAAACAATGCAAAGTCCATACGCCCAACATGCCTTTTGTTCTTGCATTTGCAGGTTCGGACCAGCATGCCTATACATGTATTTACTTAATACATTCACCGTCTAAACAATCAAATATGACATTCCATCTTTCTAATCGCATATTTGACCGTCAGATAGTGAATTAAGGGATCGTTTGAGAACAATATTTCAACAAAACAAAAAGAACTTGAATCAAAATAATTATCAAACGGCCCTAAGTAATCGTTACCCATGTCAATTATGGTACCTTCCATTATCCCCAGAAAGTCTAAATGCAAAACATTGAATCAGTTGTACAAAAAGAATGGTACAAATCGAAGGCATTGAAACCCTTTTCCACAGAACTCAGAAGAAAGATTCAAACAAGGCATACAAAAAAAATATAACATTTACACATTTTGCTCCTCCCCTTTTCTAAGGATCATCCTACTACTATACATACGAAGTGGGAAATGGAGGTTTGTACTAGTATACATGTGCGTGGATATACCGAATCGAGTTAAAATTTTAGTTAGAAATGATTCCTCGAACCTGTATTCAAGCCATTACGAATCATCAAAATTCTAGGACCGACAGCCGGCGTTTGTCTCTGCAGAATATCAAAAAATTGCTGGTAACATCCGACCAACAAAGATGTCCGCAGGTTGAGTTTTGACAACTCTTGCTGTGAGTCTGAGGCTGTTTTAAGTTTTGAAGAACTTGGCAACGGCTTGATAGAGATTCTCTTCCTCGAAGGGCTTTGAGACGTATCCATCCATCCCACACTTCAGGCACTCATCATAGGTGGCATGAATAACATCCGCCGTCATAGCTAACACAGGCAAATGCCAGTCACCCTTTCTTGCGAGTGCTTCAAATCCACCATTCATCTCAACATTTGCCTTGCTCTCCATCTGCCGGATTCTGCGTGTTGCCTCAAACCTGCAATCAAAAGTAACATTTGTAAATAACAAATTAACAATTCCAATTTGGTCAAAGCACAAATGCTAGCAATAAGGGCATTCCGAGTCTAGAATGTTGTAACTGAAACACCGAAACATACCCATCCATTTCAGGCATTTGAATATCCATGAAGCAAGCATCAAAATTGTGCGGTAATTGAAGCAATGCCAATGCAGCTTTGCCACTATCAACGCACTCTACATAAGCACCAAACTTCTTTAGTGCACCTGCAGCAACTCTCCTGTTTACCAAATTGTCATCAACCACCAAAATTTTCTTCCCGCAGAGCAGACTTTGGAGGACGTTAGATCCATTAGGCACCACTCTCCCTGGTTGCCTCTTCTTTCCTATGCCCAGGACCTCTTGAAGACACGCAGCCACCATACTAGCCCTCAAAGGTTTCATAATTACCGTATCCGCAAAACCAGCTGCCCTTACCTTATCAGATTCAGCTTGACTAAGATTATTGGTTGCAAGAAGGATCATTTTTGGCAGCTTAAACGCATGACCGTTCTGTTTCCAATCCAATTTCTGCACATTAAGATCATGTTCTTCACCAGAAATCCATGAATCCTTCTCAACTAGAACTATATCTGGCTCGATACTTTTCCTGTCATGTGTAATGAAGCAGTTCAATTCAGTTAATCAAATCCTACTTATTTCCAAAGTCTACCATTTTTTTTTTCAGTTTTCCAAAGTCTACCTTTTCATTTTACTCAAAAGTCTACCTTTCATAGCAGTTAATAAAGGTAATATTGAATTGCCATATTGTTATAGTTTTATCACAGTAAATATTAAACCCCTTAAAAAACTTTAAAGATGTAGCAAAAGTAAACGTACCCGGATGCCGCAGCACCATTTCTTCCACATGAAGCAACAGCCATCTTGATGCTGCTCGCAACTTCCACAAGGATTCCAAGTCTCTTTAAGTGGTATTTGGTTACAGCAGCTCTCACAAGTTTTCCATCAACTACTATTGCTCGCAATCCTCTAAAACTAGAAGGTAGATCCTCAGGATTAGGTTTTTTCATGTCACTAAATGCATTTTTCTTGCACCTCCTAAAATTAGCGGTGAAAGAAAATGTACTCCCGACACGAGGTCGACTTACAAATTTTATCTGACCACCCATCAGTTCAACCAGACACTTACTGATGCTCAAGCCAATACCAGTTCCTCCATAATGTCTAGAGGTTGAACTGTCTGCCTGCATGAAGGGCATAAAAACACGTTCCTGGGCAGCTAATGGTATACCTATCCCCGTATCCTCCACAGAAACCATTAACGTGACCTGCTCAGAAGCTTCAACAACATCAGCTCTGTCTTCTTCATCAGACACCAGATGCTTAAACTTATCCCAACTATTCCAGTCATTTGCTGCTTCATACCCACTTAAAGTTTTAAACTGATGGCCATCGGATGTCAGCACACCTTCATCTGTTCCTCCGTTCAAGTAAGTCTCTGATTTCCCATTTATCATCACCTTTGAGGGCTCAGCTAGATGAACTTTGACAAATATATGTCCTCGTTCAGTGAACTGCCAAATGTAGAGCTCAAACATAAGTTATCTTTGATCACTAACCAGAGCAGGACAAACCGAAGATTTTAATGAATCCTGTTACTGCAAGTTGAAAATAAAAAAATGAAACTTCCACTTACTTTAATAGAGTTGCCCACTAGATTTGTAATTATCTGTCTGAATCTCCCTGGATCTCCCATAAAAATTTCTGGAACTTTATCGGACACAAATACTGCTAGCTTCACATCCCAAATATAAATCGGAATTAGGAGATTTGACGATGAAACATGATACTATAAATTATGACAGTTCATATTTCAGAATTTAAGAACTATCACCATCACCACAGCACAATTTAAGAACTACAAAAACATTGCAGTAACTCTGAGCTGAAGACATTGCGGCTTACCTCTATACCCTTATTTCTAGATTTTTCAGAAAATAAAGATAGAACATCATCTAGTATTGACCGAATGCCAAATGGAACTTCTTCCAGCTCTAACTTGCCAGCATCAATCTTTGCCCGGTCAAGCACCTCATTTATTAATGTTATCAAAGCCTTTCCACAAGCTTGAGCTGTTCGAGCATAATCCATCTGGGTCGAACTTAAAGCTGTATCTAAAAGCAAGGCAAGCATTCCTGCAATCATAGAAAAATAAAGATTTTACCTCCTGCAAGAGTGCATTTTCGGACTCATATCATAATGTCATTCTGAAAATAAAATGTTAAAATTGGGAGATCTGTTAGCATACCTAGGATTCCGTTCATGGGCGTTCTTATTTCATGAGAAACAGTAGCAAGAAACTGGCATGAAAAAAAAGAAGACAACATATCAAAAACATGCCATTGAGGAATGAGCAATGTTTGGGGAAATGTTGAAAACAGTACCTGGGACTTGGCAACATCAGCAGCTTCTGCTCGAACTTTTAATTCCTCCATTTCACGGAAATCATCCTCAACTTTAACAATGTGCATTGCTGCCCCATATAAGATATAGCCAACTAAAAACCCAATCACAAAGAACAAGAATGCAGTGTTAATTGCTGTCCACGACGTGGGTGCCCTCTGATGATATCTGCTCAAGAATCCAATTAAGTGTATTAGGATGGCATAACCACTGAAACTCTCCATCTCTCATTAGTTATTGATTGGTTGCCCTTACCTACATATCATCTGATGCTTCCGGAAAGGATCTCCAAAATCCAACTTGCTTTCATGCAGAAGAGATGTGTCACCATCTTGGTATTGGTGACCATACATGATTAGGGGATCAGAAGTGTTTGTAACATCATACACATAAACCTGAATGGCTTGATTCCCCGCAAGTTGGCCAAGCAAATTCTCCACAAGGGACTCAACATCAAAGGCACCACCAAGGTACCTGCATTTTATACAGAATCAAATGAACCATCCTGTAGGTTGCTAACTTCTGTGGCAGATGCACATGGAATCGACTAAAGTATATGCAGGTAACAGCATGCAAAAAGCAACTGAAGAGCGTTTTCATAGTTCTATAGTTGTATGCCAACTTACCCAACAGCCGCCTGAATGCGCTGCTCCACAGTTGGGTTTGGAGGCAGCTTCGATTTGTAAACGGGGAAAGTCAATACAACACCAAGATGATGAGAACCCAGCAGCCTAAATGGGCTTGTTAGAACAGCTTTTCCAGTAGCTCTAGCCCTCAAAATGTTTTCTCTGTCCTCCTGCATCATGTAGTGGAAAAATTAAAGGTCAAATGAAACACGCCCAACGAATGCTCGGATTAATGCCATAGAGTTCAACAAGATAAACAAAGTGAAAGTAAACACATCCTATAGTTACCTCCCCAGACATCATATCAAGTGACTCAATGTAAGAGACGGTTTCCTGTGAAAAAATTACAGGCGCATACTCATCTCGGTTGGGCGATGGTTCCTTCCCCATTGTCTTTATTGTCCATCCATGTTGGTTTTCAAACTTTTCCCTATCCGAATCAAGCACTCTCTGTGCATAGGCCACCCCACTCAAAAGAGGCCTCTCGAAGGCGGTTCTGGCAGTGTATTCAGCAAATGTTTCCTGCATTTTCCCAATACAGAACCCAAATCACACAAAAGCTCAAACCAGTAGCACCACATTCAATCATCATAAAAATTGAGAAACTAATTGTCTTAAATAAACCAAACTGTACAATTAGTCAAAGAAATTATACCAAAACAAGCATTTCCCAAAAGGGTTTTGATCAAAATTGAAGCACAAACATACCTGATCAATTGCAGAAGGGTTCTTGTAGTAATGGAATGTGGAAACAAGGATTGCAAGGGCATGCACATGATTAACACTAACACTGAACTGATCCTGCAGCATTCTTGCCCTCTGATCACACATGCTACCAAGAACTTCTACCCTTCTCACTTTGTTATCAGCATCCATGCAAGAGTAGGTTAACCAGCCCAAGAGAAGCATCACACCAACCCAAAGAAGGAACAGTTTTGGGAACCAAGCCCTGTGTGCCTGCACAAAGGTGTAGCCTTTTTTGGCCCCCATTTGCTCATTCAACCTCACAGCCACTGAGTGGTGCCGCTGCATCTTCGTCTTCCCACCCATCAGCACTAGACCAATTTCTTTGATTCTTCTTCTTGTTTCCTCTTTACTCATCTCATAACTAATCTTAAAAAAAGAGAACCCACGTTCTTAAAAGTGCTTATTTTTTCAGAAACTTTTTTTCTGAAAGCACAAGCAAAATACGAGCAAATGAAGAAATATATCTCCTACTGTGGGGGTGTGGACTTTCTTCTTCCCTCTCTCACTGAAACCCCATCGTACTATTGTAAAAGGTAAAGAGAGAGAGAGACCCAGAACTCGAAAAGAAGGATTCTTTCTCAATTCACAGAGACAAGCATGGCTCTCAAAAGATGGGGAAAGGAAAACAAAGCTCAAATTCCAAAGTAGTCTTTGTATTTCTCTCTCCTCACTCTCTCTCTCTCTAGAAAATGGTCTGTCTCAGGCTGTGAATGCTAAACAAAAAATCGTTTTTTAAGGAATAAAAAAACACAGAGAGCTCCAATCATGCCATCTCAAAGCGTGAAGCTTAGTTAGAGGCTTCCAGACAAAGAAGAAGCACGTTCACTGTTTTCCCACCATATAATAATCAAAACACACAGCTAAGCTCAGCACACAACACAGGAATGCACACCACAAGAGTTTGATGAGAGAGAGATAGAGAGAATTCTAGAGAGAGAACCAAAAGAAATAAGAAATAAGAAATGGGGGTCTTGAAAGAAACGATCTTCACCTCTAACAATTATAGAAAGATGGTGGCTTGATGCAGTACAATGAATGTCTAATAGAAAAGGAGTATTGGGTCGTCCTGATCTGAGGATTTTTTCTTTATTTTTTATTTTTTCAGCGTAAAATAGTAGCTTTGATGACTTTTTATGCTCTATTTTTTTAAGGCAACCAAACTGAATCGAATTTTTTGGATTTTCAGAGATACGCTCTTGTCTCCCCATCACTACCATCCCACATTATAAACTAATTTCCCCTCTCTCTCTCCCCTCCCTCTCTGTATTCTTCCTTATAATATTGCATCTTGCACCACACACTCTCTCTCTCCCTCTCTCTGTTGTTTGCTTTGCTAATTTTCTGAGCTCACATTGAAGCTGATAGTCCAAACTTTTGAAATTCAACCGAAATATTTTGATGGGTGTCAGACTCTGACACTTCCAAAAAGCAAAACCCAAATGGGTTACGTTTTTCGGGTGCTTTATGTTTTAAACAGTGAAAAATGAGATGGAAAGAGTCTCAGGGGAAGGCATAATTGCCCATTTAAACATCAGAAGGAATCTGACATGATGTCTGCCTTCTCTAGTTTTCTTTTAATTTCTTGTGTGAGTGTTAATCACCCTATAAATATTTGGACATTTTAATTACTCTCTACCTATTAGGCCGCATTTCTGTTTATTTTTAACATTTAGCGGTAAAATTTCATGGATTTACGGTAAAATTTATGTTCAAAGAACATCGATATAATTAAATTAATTCTAAAAGAGAATCAAATAATATAAATAAAGAAGAATGCTAAACACAATTAGGCAAAAAGAAGTTCGAAAAAATGTATACAGAAATCATTTTCCGAGTTATGTATTCCCTTTTCCATTCAAATCATTGTTAAATTTCTTCAACTTCCTTTGTTTTTCAAAAAGGTAGTGTGTGTAATATGTTTAGGATTTCAATATGAATCCAATTGGGCGAATGGAAGTCCAAAAATCGCAATCACATATCTTTGGGATAATGACATTGGGATCTCATTCCCTCTAATTTACATTAAGCCCGGAATTTCTATATTAAATTCCGAAAATACCCCATCTATTTTTTCTATCTTTCATGAAACCAAACTCCTTTTTCAATTGATATACCAGATTTGGATAAGAAAATATGACTATGGGGCAAAGTTTAAGTTTTCTAAATTCGTCATGTTTATATATTTCCAATAAAAAATGAGTGCACGATAATTTTTGTTTCCTAAATTTTACATTTTCAAAATATTTTTACTTTTCAATCATTTTTTTTTAAGATCATAATTGTAAGTTTTGGAGATGAATGTCTTATTATTAGATTAAGTTGTTAATTGATATGAGAAATGTTGTACGAATGAGGAGAACGAAATCGGAAAGAGATCATCTATGAATCTCTTTCTCTAAAATTCAGAGATGAAATGATTCGGACATTTGAAATTTGATCGGTTAAAAACAGAGAAGCTAGTAAAAAAAATTAAAAATTATAATAATTTTTTGTCGTTGAATCAAATTTTAAACTTAAATTATTTTTTTACCAAAAAAAAAAACCTAAATTATTTAATCATTGAGTTTTGAAAGAGAAGATCCGGAGATGATCTCTTCCCCACGAAATGGAGTTCTTCAGACACGTTTCTGATTTGAAATGACACTTAAATAGTAGTCGATGCTGGTTGAGTGGTTTTTGTTCAGAAAAGGGATATCTTTTGATGGAATAAGGGGAAGATTGCATGGGGACCATTTTCGTTCACACCTATTAAATTTATGAAATATTGAGAAATGGTCAATCGCTTTTAGGTATGAAACTCGTATTGGTAGGACGTTAAATTTGAAAGCTCTAACTTATAAATAAGGGTAAATTACACTTTCATACTTTAGGTTTAGGATCTATTTCAATTATTTACAATATTTTCAAAATATTTCATTTTCATACATTAAGTACTATTTTATTTCAAAATAATACATCCATTACATTTTCCATCTATTGATCCGTTAAGCGCTAATGTGACTGCCAAATATGTGCCTCGTGGTAAAAAAAGACCCTAAATCTTCTAAATATATTAATTTAAAAAAAAAAAAAAAAAAACTAAAGTTAACCTTCCCGTCATCCCCCACACCTGCATCGTCCCCCCCAAACCCGCGACCCTCCCTTCGTCCGCACCCTTCCTCTTCCCTTCTCTACACACTCCCACTCTCCTCTACACACCCCCCCCCCCCCAACTCTTTAAATCCACATCCATTCCATGAACCCGGCGATGGCGAGACGGGATCTTTTTTTTCTGGGTTGCAGGTGGGGGGGTCGGGGGGAAGAAGATGAAGATGGGGGAAAAGAGGGGGAAAGAAGGGTTTTTTTTTTTTTTTTTCTTTTCTTTTTCTTCTTCTTCTTCTTCTTCTTTCTGGGTTGCAGGGAAGAAAATGAAGATGGGGGAGATGGGTTTAGGGGTTGCAGGGAGAAGACAGGTTTTAGTTTTTTTTTTTTTTTTTTTTTTTTTTGAGAAATCATTCAGGTTTTTAAAAAAAATTATTATTTTTATCACGTGACAGACATTTGGCAGACACATCAGCACTTAACAGATCAATAGATGGAAAATGTAACAGAGGTATTATTTTGAAATAAAATAGTGCTTAAGGTATGAAAGTGAACTGTTATAAAGATGTTGTAAGGAATTGAAATAGAACTCAAGCCTAAGGTATGAAAGTGTAATTTACCCTATAAATAAATACAATTGAATCGTTAGATTGGATTAGTAACATAAGAAAAAGCACAGTTAAATAAGTTAATAAAGGCTTTAGGGTCGAAAGCAATATTCACTTAACAAATACAATGTTATTGTGACTGTAAACACGAATTTCTTGTGACAAATAAAATAAAAACACGTGTACAAAATAAATATATTTGTATTAACGTAGGTTTAGAGTTACAATCTCTTTAAAACTTAATCCTCTTATTCGATCTCCAAAATATGTAGATCCCTTTTCCGCCAAGTGTTGACACATGTCATTCTTGATGACTCGTTCGATTTTGATGAGTCATATCCACGTGTATGATTTATGAGACACATAATGCATACTATGTATGTCCTAACATGTCCAAACTTTAATACGTTTATGAACATTTATTTCTTCAAAAATTCAATGTCTATAATTAATGACATCTCATACTCATAATATAATGAAAATTTTAAAATATTATCAACACAAAATATCACTGATAACGATATAACTATTAAAAGTATAAATCCGACGTTAGAGAAAGAAACAACCTTTCATATACGAAGTTTGAGGCCATTATCTATCTTTATTTTTCCTGCCACTCAAAGTGTGTGGGTATGTCGGCCATGTGGTCTGGTAGTGAAGGTGAAGCTCACACCCATCACTTTCTATCCCAACAAAAAAAGTCTAATTATCTTTCTTTCTTTGTACAATTAATGATCATATCGTGACCCTCCCTCCTCACTCCTGAGCCCTGCCGATGCCATGCAGGCCATCCTCGTCCCTCACCCTCCCATGCCAGGCCAGGCCAGTCCAGGTGCTTCATCTTCTTCTTCTTTCTGCTGGACCCTGAGTGCTCTTTTTTCCTGGCTTTCCTCTCTCTTAGCTTGATTCTCGATCTACCTAATAAAAGCATTTGCATTTGCATTTGCATCCCGATCGATGGGAGTCGAGTCCTATGCCATTCCATACCCTGCAGCACTAACTAGCTAGTACTAGTACACAGTAGTACTTGTGTACTTCTGCCTTCTGCATGTGTTGTTGTATGTGGTCCCCTGGATTTGGTTTCATAGAGCCATGTGATGCTTTCATTTCAGGTCCCCAGCTAGCTAGCAACAAGCCTACAAGGTGCATTATGCTTTATATCAAGGGTGTTTAAACCATGACCATTGTCGCCACGAACGAACTCGAGCCCCCTCAAGGGAAGGCATACTCGATTCATCGAAATTAATCGAGAACGTCTGCCTTGATCCCAGAGTCTTCCTTTTATTTCGAAGCATGCGGGTACCAAAAACCGATGCCTTACCACTTGGCAAGAAATAGGGACGTAGCTAGAATAGTGTTAGCACACGCCCGGCAAAAGTGGGTTGGTTGTTCTGTTTGCATTCTCTGCCCATGGACCAACAGAATGCCTTGGTTTTATGGCAATATGGCTTTGGTAAAAGCCTGATAGATCTTAATTTTTGTATTTCTCTTGAACGAAGATTAAACTGTTAAAATTTTAAAGTATCTCGTACTCTGGAATACAAAAAAAAATTCTTGCTTTATATTGCCTATGATTTATTAGGAGTGCCTAGGAAAGAAAGAAAAAGGAATTATGCATGTAAACTAGTTAAACTCACTTTAAATTCAATTTTCACTCATACTTTTTCAATATAATTCTTCAACAGACTAGTTGTCCGCGAGCTAAATTTAATTTTTTTAATAGTAATTAGGCTTGAGAAACAATGATTTTTACCAAATCTTTGTTCTCTCCCTCCCCCTTAAATGTTGATCAAAATAATTGTAGTAACATTATTGTGTCATTTAGAGTCAAATTTCAATTAATCTCGGTGGAGATGATCTAATTATGCTACAAATTACTCTAGTTTTAACATTTAACAATCATTTGTACTCGTTTTTTGTTCTTAAAAATCACAAGATTTGGCTTGTTTTGGTACCTAAACTTAGTTTGATCAACAACAATTTTCTTGTTAGATGTGAAATTATGTACATGGACTGGTTCACAAGTCCCCTCATACTCTCAATTAAGACATGTAGTTAACCAGAGTCCATGGGTCCGTGACTAAATGTTTATGCCAAATCTCAAACACAATCTTTTAAACCATCCGTCCTATGTTTAATGCGAGTCAACTCCACATATGCACGCCAATGCATAGATTAATTAGATTATTTGTTTAACCTTGTTAAAAGAGGATCCTATAGTGTTTTGTCCGTTTTAGTTCGTAAAGTGATCTTATGTGGGTTTTTAGTATTTTAAACGGTTTTTTATCCGTTTAGTTTGGTAATCAGGCTGTCGTTATTATACTTTTATTAAAATTTGTGTCTGATACAAGTCTCTGATATACTGTTAAAGCTTTTGAGTGAACATCATTGAGTGTGTTACAAAAAAAATTTAATAGCCTGTTCCTTAATTATGAAAATGAGAGGTATTTTGGACACACACAAACACACAAACGATATATATATTTGTAGTGAGTTCAATAACGAGGCTTGCTTGATTTCCTATGCTCATTTTTCAGTCTTGTTATTGTATCTCATTTTTCAGTCTCGATAGGAATTAATGATTTTCTAAATGCTTTACAAAACCCAATATTGATGGGGACTGCACATGATCAAACAACACAAAATCCAGCAACGATTTAGTGCTTCAAAGGTTC